TTACATTGTATCCGCATTTGGTAATCTACATGGCACATCCTACATCGCAGAGTCCCTATCTTCTTATGTCGATCCATCAGGACCTCTATACACCTGCCAACTGACCCCTCCCCCCCAAATGATGCTATTGCTATTACTTCTCACTATTGCAGAATGGGCAATCAAAGGTAGTGTCCAACTTAGGCTTCGGCCTCGCTGCCTTCATAGCCTTCCTGAAGGAACAATAATCAACATCCTTCGACAACTGAACTGGTGCTGCCCTCTAGCCGACACCTCTCATAGTCCCCTACTGCTACTACCCCTTTCGTCTGCCCATCCTCGACTATCAATAAATAGAAGTAGATTAGGAAGCCAATCCTGACAGAACCCTCCTACCCCAATCCTACCACCACCACCACTGGACAACACAACAATTGTCTCCCTTCCCTCCAAGTGAGCTGCTAGGCATCATGCATCATCAGTAGTAGTAGCAGAATAGTAGTAGATGCATACAAGCACCATAGACAATGCTACACGGACTACACACTACTAAACTCCACTGGCTTCAATATGCTGACTGAACCTCCTCGTTGAATTATGACAATCATAATAATAAAAATAATAATGATAATATACCCGGAAAGCAACGAGGAGAGACACAAGAGGAATCGATCAAGATAGGTACTGCGATAGAAGACTTGTTTCTTCACTCAGATAAAGGAGTCCAGTTTGTTGGCGTGTTACGATAAGGAGACGTGCCGTCCTACCACAAATGTCATTGTATAGCATCCCAAAGCCTACAACAACAAGCCTACTATATCATTGCTGCCTCTCTCCATATCAAACACTTCAAAGCTGAGGGAGCCCTCAGTGCCACTAGAGGAGCTTCCTATCTCACTCGGAGACTGGACCGTGAGGGCACGACGATTTTCAGAGCGATACTTTCGGTCGATAACAAGATGAACCTGCCGAGACGAATCTCTGTTCAGCCACAGAAACACCCACAATCTGCTACATCATATAGATCGTTACCGTATTGGAACCATGCAGTATGAAGGAGCTCTGAGGGCGCCATCAGGACTACTCCCATACGGTCTGAGGAGGAACCCTCTCATCACAACTACACTGGCAGCAGCAGCAACAAGAGCTCTACCTGTATTTACAGCACAATCAGCGGTAAACGTTTGTCCCGAGTCCCATTGACTGGTGAATACCACCGAATAGACATGCCCTTCGGGTAGATATGAGGTGCTCATTCGTAACTGCACATGACCATTCCTTACGACCAAAGCCAGCATCACTACCACTACCTCTACAGGGCCAGTACCAGCAACCCTCCTCGGGTACAACGACTTCAGACGGATTGGCTCTCCTTCCCCTTGACGCGGTATGAACACTCGCATCTCACAAGCTGGTGTCATAGGCACTGTACACAGCAACAAGGGTGGTAAAGGAGTAGCAACAGCATCAGAGTGCCTAGCCTCTAGAGCCGAGACCAGCATACGGACGTCACAACGCTCGCCTGTCAATGACCGTGGAGATAGCACAGACGCAGTCTCCTACGTGTGACTCTATCCCCATCATTGCATAACCATTGGAGTCTTTGTATAGG